TGTACTGTTATATTGTAATTATTGGGTATGTTTTCCATTAAGTAAGAACATGTATGTTGTTGAAGCTATTTTTATGAGGTGCAAGAAGCAAATATGTATGTAAGAATGAGAAGAAGAATATGTGTTATTTATGTTCCAGCATGTTAATTAGAAACAATTCATGTGAGGAATACCTATTCATGTATGAAATGTTAAACCAGGTACCCAGAACGATTTAGGAAGGATTCCATACACTTGGAATGCAGCCAAGTGATGTTATTTTTAAGTTTTCATAGTAGGGAAACGATTCCCAGATGAAGGGAAACGATTCCCATGAAACAGGGGACAAAACTTGGCTTTGGTCAAGAAATTTTACACATTGGAAATTTGTTCCCATCAAGAAGGGAATCGATTCCCATGGAACAAAGGACGTGAGTTTGGCTACTTCCTAAGACCATCAGGTGCTAGGAATCAATTCCTACAAGAGTGATAATCAGTGGCGGACCCAGTAATTGTTTCTGTGGGGGGCTAAAAATTAAACATTTATTTTTCTCTTCAAACATAATATATGAGAGGCCAAAATACAAAAAATTAAATATTTGTTCCTCTCTTCAACCACAATATGTGGGAGGCCGAAACACCAATCCAGAAAACATAACTCATAAATACCTCTTTTAACTTGTTATAGAGAGAAAGAAGGAGACAAAAAAAGAGGTGGAAGATGTCACAGTAAAATCTACTATCAATTTGAAAAAATTACACATTTTCAACCCCAATGAACATTTTTTATGCAAAGAAAACAAAGAAAAAGAGAAGAGAGCAACGATTTAGATTTCACAAAAAATATGTACTAATTACTATAATATAAATAGATAATTCAAAGTAGACCCCTCTCATTTCTTAACCTCTTTTTCTATTTACTCATGTTAGCCCAACAAGAAAAAAAAGCCAAAGATAAATCAGAAGAGACAGATTGGCAAGAAGCACAATCACCAAAACCATTCTGCCCCTCACTTCCCTCTCTGTCACGAATTATCAAAAAAGGAGAGGGATCGAAAGAATAAAGTTCATTCTTTCATAAGACTCTCGAACTTCTTATTTTTATTCGTGGATGAGAAGATTTGTGCTAATATCTAAGCATAATAAAAGTTGAAACTGTAAATTTCAAGTCAAGGTTTAAACTATAATTTAAGGGAAAGATTATATTTATAAACTTTTTGTTTAGAAACTCTTACAAAATACACTGTGTTTGACCGTTATACTTTAATCAAGAGTGTATGACTGATCATACTTAATGTAATTTGTAAAAAAAGTTTGTAAACAGATATTTCTCCATAATTTAATGCTAATTCCATATGCTAATTGTTACCACCAGGTCTGTGCCAACAAACAAGCACCACGTAGCTAAAAGGATTTGAACTAAGAGAAACCATGTATCTATTGGTGGTCGTTGATACTCCTAACATGATATAATCTTAAATAAACCTATTTTTTGTTAAAGCAAAAAAAGACAAGAAAGTGCCAATCATGGTACTGCGCTCTTTCTCATTCTTTTTTGTTTTGTTCATTTCGTTAACTTTCTTGGAGGGAGAAAAAATGCAATCAGAGTTAGAGGGGTTTCAGTAGATATAGGACCTGATAATATAAAGAAGCTCTATAAACTCTCTGCGGTGGGAGAAAATTACTTCGCATTAGTGGAGAGAAAAAATGAAGGTTTCTTGCATTATACTTATATTAACAAATTTCTTCTATGTACCAAAAAAAAAAATCTTCAAATTTTAGGGGGGGGGGGGGGCGCCGCCTACCCTAGCACCCCCCTCGGTCTGCCCCTGGTGATAATCGATTACCTAGTTAGGGAATCGATTCCAACAAGAAAGGAATCGATTACCTAACGCTGAAAGTTAAGTTTTGGCTAAGTTTCAAGGAATAATTGATCATGCATGTTAAAGAAGGCATAAGTCCACTTCAAATGAGTTGTGGTGCCTAAATTAATTTGAATGAACCTTAGGGAAGTTAAAATAACTTTTCCAAACATAATTGGAGGTCTTAGGGTAACATAACCTTGTTTATAACTTGGTGAAAGCATATGTCATTTAAGTGTGACAAGTTAAAGGAAATAATAGTATATAATGAGTTTAATACTATGCATGTTTATGGGAACTATAGAGTAAAGCTAAATGATGAATGTAAGATACATTTGAGTAATGAGTAACGCTTCCATTTTATGTAAGAGTTATAATTATAGTTTTTTAATTAATTGTATAGGGAAGAGTTTTGTAAATAGTAAATTAAAAGTTAAAGAAAAGAAAAAGTTTAGCTCTTTTTTAATTCAACTGTTGTGATCGGAACGACTTTTAATGCCATACGTAATGATAACAAACTGGAGTGTTATGGGGTGTTACACCGCTCACGAGCTCGACCTCGCTCGTCGTTGATCTATTCAACCATTTATGCGACAACCAGAGCTCTAATTCCAAATAATGCTGAAGCATTAACCAATTGGCTAAACAGAAAGTAAGACTAGACAAAAGGATTGCAAGAATTTTTTTTTTCTCTTTTTTAAATTTTATTTAACCAAAAACAATCAAATAATAATAGGGTTGTTCACGCCTTAAATAGACGAAACAAAATAAAACCAAAAAAAATCAAATAGAATCAAAAGGGATCATGCACAATCAAAGGAGATAATACACAATATAAAGAGAATCAAGGAAATAACGAAAATATAAAATAACAAATAATGACTAAAATGCCCTAAACTATGGAATAACCTTAAAATGCCCAAAATGACACGGCACACAGATATTTCTAAGCCAAACTTAGGTGCATCAGTGAGTCTACTCAATTAATGGAACGAGGATAAGATTTTACCGGAAGATATTGAAAAGATAATCTTTTCACTATAATTTATCGATTCATCGATTACTCGACTAATCTGATGCGAGCCGGATATAATCACATAGACGACAAAGCTCTTAAAAAATAGATGGTTAGCATTTATCTTGCATCTAAATTTAGGACACTCACTTATTAAATGTTGGTATATTTGTCGAATTTTCGGATCACGCTTGTGGGGGCTTGAATTTATTTCTCAAGTTTTCTTTTTTTATTAGGCAAAATAATTGTGTGTGAGGCGTGTCTTTCTTAATCTAAATTTTTAAATTTATCAAAAAAAATTACAATACTAAAAAACCAGTGTTGTGTAAGGAAATAATTCTAGTATGACATATAATTAAGTGTAAGGACCTCAAATTTTTTTTATTATCAATTAAGGACCGTAATTTTGATAAAAGAAAATTTAATAATATTTATTATTTGAAAAAAGAAATTTAGATAATATACGCATGTATTTTGTTCATGTTATAAACTGTTTTCATTTATCAAGTTGGATCTTTTTGGCGTTTCCTTCATTTGTAGTTGTAAAAATATATTTTAATAAAGTTGAGTCTCTTATTGATAACAAAAAAAAGTTTAACCCCCAAATTGAGTTATAACAAAAAATTTAGGTCCTTAAAACAATTTTATTTAAAAAGTTCATATTAAATAACAATTTTTAGGGGCTAAAACAAGATAAAAAAGAATTAAGGTGAGAGAAGTTTTATAAGTTTGAAGATAATTCGTACACAAAAAGATAAAAAATTAAGCTATAAGTAGAAAATTATTTTGAAGACCAAATTATTAATTTGCATGTACAAAATCGAATGCTTAATATTCTTAGCAAAGTTTATTTTTAATTCTCAATTTATCATGTGTGTTATATCCTAGTATAAATTGTATTGGCTTCCAAATTCCAATCACTAATCTTGTGAAAGAATTTTTTAGAATTTTTTTTTTTAATAAAAAGGTATTTAGATTGATAATTTTCTATCTTTTCTTGGCAAAGAAAACAAATGTGTTCTTGGAAACGTGATCATTCCCTAAGGTAACGTTTTTTTCTCGCCGGCTTCTTCTCCTTTCTTGTCTATTTCCATCCTGCTTGTGCTTTTCAACTCTTCATTCATCTAGAAATCATGTTTTTGAACTCCACTTCCCTTTTTATTACCATTAATCTATGGAAAAAACAACTCTAAAAAGAGTTGTTTTTTCTACGGTTGACCCATCAAAAATCGTAAAATTGTTTTTTGTTTTTAATAAGGAGTAGGCTTCATCACATCATGTTGTATTTGTTTCCAGGAGAGTCGATTGCCCCTTAATCTATACATCATCAATTCCAAAATATACAAATATTTTACATTGAATAATATTTTATTTTATTTGGATACAAGTGAGAATTGAACAAATATCCTAATATAATTTACTCAAACTCTTCACCATTAAATCAATTCTAATGGTTTAAATTATTATTTTGATATCCATTTTTTTGGGATATTATAATTTTGAGTAATTATCAAGGACACCTTAATTATTGACAATGCATAATAAATAAAATTTTAAGTTTTTATAAAAATAAAGAAATTACTGAATATTTTACAATATTATTAGAGATAAGGATAACAATGTGGCCACCTCTGTTTCTCCTCCTTATCTTTAATAAACATTTAAATAGTTTTGAATTAAAGAATATTTTGAATTTCCATCATATTAAGATATCATAATCTAAATCAAACCTCAAACAATTATTAATTACTTATTATATTTCAAAACATTCAATAACTATTTCATAATTAGAAAGGGTAAAAGGAATCCACTGGGATTAGCCTAGAGGTGTAGAGTATACGTTAGATGTATGTAGTGCAATGATGTGTGTTCAATTTCTATGTAATGCAAAGAAAATAAAAAATAAAAATAAAAGGAAAAAACAGCTATCATAACAATACTCGTATAGAGTCCTTTTAAAAGAAAAAAAAAACTTAACAGAATGGTATTTTCACTGACATATCAATATAAAATTATCGTCGTATCTGTTTATATACTAGAGCACCAACTTATCAGTCATGATCATTCGTCTATCAGAATAAAATCTCTTAACCCTTCCATTCCTTAAAAGTCTCAAACCCTATCCTTTTGCCAAACAAATTTCTCTTTTTCTGTTACTCTGCATCATCATCAGTTCACAAACCAAACCAACCCATTACTATTCTATCACACCAAACCCAGAAAAAAAAAGCATTTTTTTTTCTTTGGGTCCTCACAACTTTAGTCAATGGAAAACTCTGTCTACAAGCACCATCACCTTAGGAGACTGGTCACTTTCCCATCATCATCATCATCATCACCATCATCTCAACTCTCATCTTTATCCAAACCCCACTTGAGATTCTTCTCCATCTTGCCCAGAAAACTTGTGGGTAGCCCTTGTTTGTGCCTTAAGGGAAGACCCATGAAGGTCAAAGCCAGTGCAGGAAGGAGACACTGTGAGTTCAGCAGCCTCAATTCACCCCTTGAACCAAGGTCTATGGTGGGAAAATTCCTCAGTGGTGTGTTGCAAAACCACCCCCAGTTGTTCCATAACGTAACCATGGAAGAGCTTAGGCTCTTGAGTGATGATAGAGATTCTGCTGTTGCTCGCATGTTGCTCAGCCAAGGCTCAGATGAAGCCTTGCTTCACAGGTTTGTGACCAAATTGAAATTGCCCCCCTTTTTTTTTGTTATGTATCTTATTTGGTATATTGATTCTTGTACTGTGTGTTTATTTGTGAAGGGTGAAGTTTGTGACTTAATCAAAGTTCATTTGCATGTAATTTATTTATTTGTTTTTTAATACAATATGTGACTTAAAGAGTTAGTTTGGTATTCAGTTAAAATTTGGCCATTAGGGGTGAAATTTTCAGTGGTGATATTTTCATGAAAAACTCGTTCCTGAAATTTACTGTAGAAGGAGGAAATTTACTGATCCTATATTATATATAAATTTTTCATCTGGGGTTTTTGTTTTTGTTTGTTAATGTAGAAGTTATGTTTTTTGTATTCAATTTGGAACAGGCATGAGGCATTTGGTTTTTATGTAAAATTGAAGCTACATATATTTACAGACCTCATATATGAGGTAGAAGACTGTGCTGAATTGTCCTCTAAACTGGTAGAGGCCAGTGAGGATGAATTTAACAAAAGGAAAACAAACCTTCTTCTGATCCTTAACAGGCTTCACATGGTTTGTTTTGTGGTCACCCTTTACTGGGCGTTTGATTTTTTCTTTTTGATAGAAAAGGAAATTTTATTATATAGTAAAGAGACATTTCAACTAAAGGGTGGATAAGATTTTCCCCAAACAGAGAAACAAGATAAGAACAAAATAATAATAATAATACTCAAAAGGGAAGCCTCTACAAATATCTGAGATGACAACTCCCTTGAAATGGACACGTATAGAACACCAAAGAAAAGCTTAAAGACTATCATATCACATAAGAATTTGATGAGTATAGATACCTTGAATGATGCAAGCATTTCATTTCAATCATATATGCCAAATAATAGCCTAAATTGCACACCTTGACAAAATTTTGGATTCCTTTTTATACTTTTTTTTGTATAACAATTCCTTTTTATACTAAAACTGTTATAAATTCCATCAAGTACTTACCTGTGGACACAACCTAGTGCTCGCCCAGACCAAACAAATTGTTCCATGAAATCAACTGGCCATGTTAAAAATATCCAAAGCTGACATGATGCATAATGAAGATCAGGGAAAGGAGCAGTGTGAGTTGTATGAATTTTCCGTAAGCCAATGGGATGGGCCTGATTTGAATCCGGTGTAATATTTCTGAGATGAATTCTGACAGTATTGGCTGATTTTGATGATCTTATTATTTCAATGAACATTGGTTGTCATTGAGTTGTGAGTAGTTTTTGGTTCAGAATTGAGGCAGGAACTGTAAAGTGGAATTGTAATGTCAAGTTTGGAACGGTTTGGTCTACTAGTGGGGAATATAGAATAGATGATTTCATTTTCATTTTATGAATTCTAGAGAATTAGAAAGTGTAGGAAATCAGAAGATTATTGCCATATATATTAAGAGATTCTGTCAAATCCCTAAATCATAGGAGTCAATCAATTAGGCTTAGTGTATTTCCTTTTTAATTAGGATTGATTAGTTTCCTTTTGTTATTTTATTTCCTTTTCCAATCACATAAGGTGTGTATATATGCGTGTGCCCTTTCTTTATCAGAACACAATTCAATGAAACCTTTTTCTTAGTATTCAAACATGGTATCAAGAGCAAACATGATCTCGACGCTGTCCAAGCCCTAGTCACGGATTGGAAAGCACAAAACACTTGTGAGAAACTCGGTACAGCCACTGCCAAGGACGAAAAGTCTCACCTACACAGCTCCAACTGAAAAAGTAAGGCCACCATCAACCTCATACGCAAGTTTCCGGCCGACCCACCACAGATTGCCGTCAGACTTACTCGTGTGAACTTACCAAACGCTCTCATGTCAATTATCCCTCTAGACCCCACAAAGAATCTTCTCCTTTTACCCTAATTCACAGTGATATATGGAGTCCAGCCTGTGAAAAAAACATTTCAGGTGCAAGGTGGTTTATCACATTCATCGATGATCACTCTCGGATTTGTTGGGTGTACCTTCTTAAGGATAAATAAGATGCCGAGCTCACTTTTAGAAACTTCCATACCATGATCCAAAACCAGTTTCAAGTTTCTATAAAAATTCTCCATACAGACAATGATAAAGAATACTTCACCTTTATTCTTGGAGAGCATTTAACCTAACATGGCATTTTTCGTCAGAGTTTAGGCCCCGATACCCCCCCCCCCCCCCCCAAGCAAAACGATATAGCAGAAATAAAAAGTCGTTATCTTCTTGAAGTTTCCCTTGCCTTTATGTTCACCATGGTTGTCCCTAAATACTTGTGGGGGGGAAGTTGTCCTTTCCACCTCTGAGGTTATTAATCACATACCCTCTCAAGTCCTCGAGTTTCACTCTCCACTATCGCCTTGTCAACCTGTTCCCTTCCTTTCAGGCCATTTCTTCTCTTCTTCCCAATTTCTTTAGTTGTGTCGCCTTTGTCCATATTCCTACTTACCAGAGATCCAAACTTAATCCTATGTCCCTTAAGTGTGTACTCTCCTACTCAGCGAGGCTACAAGTGTTAGTCGCCCTCTCTTTGAAAGGTATTTTTTTCTATGGATGTCACCTCTTCCCAAACACATTTTTTTTTCCCCTTGCTTTCTCTTTAGGGGGAGTCTATAGGAGAAGATGAAGATAAGTCATGGGAACCTACTGAAACCACAGTACCACCACCACTGCCATTAGGAACAAGGGAAGTAGCCACAACACCTAATGCCACAGTGTTATCATTACTGTTGGAGATAGGGGGAGCTCTTCAGCTTATGGTTTATAGTAGAAGAAACTGGCGAAAGGTAAATAATCTAGAACCTTTAGGCTGTAAGGATTCTGATTCGAGTTCTCGTTTCAACAATCAAGCACCTGTATGCCATGACATAGATGATGTGCACTTGCCCATTGCCCTAAGAAAAGATACTTGATCTTGTATTGATCATCTTATTTCTCATCATATTTTCCATGAGAAGTTGTCTCTAGGTTTCTGTGCCTTTAATATTGCATTAGACAGTACAAAAGTACCAAGAAACATCCAGGAAGCCTTTAATGATTCAAAGTGGAGAAAAGTTGTCTTTGAAGAAATGAATGCCTCGGAGAGGAATGGAACCTTGGAAATAGTGACATTACCGAGAGAAAAATGGCCAGAAGGTTGTAAGTGGGTGTTCACTATCTAATTCAATACAAATAATAGCATAAACAAATACAAGGCCTGGTTGGTTGCAAACCCAAACACATGGAATAGATTATCAGGAGACTTCTACTCTAGTTGCCAAGGTCAACACCATTCGAGTCCTTTTATCTCTGGCCACTAACCTAGATTGGCCCCTACAACAACTAGATGTGAAGAATTCTTTTTGAAATGGTGACCTACATAAAGAAGTTTATATGGATCCTCCGCATGGTTTCGAAAAGGAAAATGGATTGGTGTGTAAATTAAACAAACTAATTTGAACTGAAGGATCTTGGAAGTCTTAAGTATTTTCTTGGCATGGAAGTGGCTCAGAGCAAGTCAGGATTCACTATTACTAAGAAGAAGTATATACTTGACCTTTTGCAAGAGACAAGCATGCTAGGTTGCAAGTCAGCCGAGACGCTTGTGGAACCTAATCCTAAGTTGGGCATTAAAGATAGAAACGAGGTGGACATGGAACAATATCAGAGATTGGTTGGAAAACTGATTACTTATCTTATCTCTCACTTGACCTGACATTGCCTTCGCAATAAGCATGGTTAGTCAATTCATGTATTCTTGTAGGGAGAAACACTTGGATGCAGTCCACAGAATCTTTAAGTACCTCAAGAACACTTGATAGCGACACGGCAAGTGCACCGGTCGTGAAAGTAATAAAGTGTACTAAGTACGAGATCGTTCCCACGAGGATCAGAATTTCAAGCACTAGTTCACTAATTGCGTTTTAGTTGGACAATCAAAGTTTGGGTTTGAGAGAATAGTGAATTTAGATGAAGAGAATTGTGGTTCAAAGAACCTAAATCTAGAATCAATGCAAGTATGAAATTCTAGAATTAAAAGAATGAATGAGATGATGTTTGATTAAGATTTAAAGAAAAACGTAATTAAGGTTTCGACTTCCCCCAATATCCTCAATATGTTATGAATTAAAAAAGCCAAGAATCCGTTTCTTAATATATTGCCAATCAATTCTATCTAAGTTAATTAGGGTTCAATTCCTTGTTACCCTAAATCTATGTGATCTTGAAAGAACTCTAGTTCCCCGATTATTCCCCCAAGAAAACATGCATTAAGATCAAGAATTACAAGATTGCATAATTACCTTATGTCTATTCCTATTCCTATTCCTAGAACACAAGGATTATGATAAATTATCAAGTCAAGGTTCATGCACCAACATCCCTATTGTCATACAATTCCCCAAAATCATTCTATAAGGAACAAACTCATAGAAAGCATTAAAGACGGATAATTTATTCAATTATAAAAAGAACAGGATTCGGAGACAAATTAATTCATAAACATAAAGATTCAATTGAGTTCCATCTACCCTTAACTACATAAAAAACTACTCTAGCATACTGAAAAGAAAAATAACAATAAAGAAAAGAGAACCCCAAGCCTCCATTGGTGTGATGTTGACCTGGTTCCTCAGTGTTCCAGCGCTCCACAACAGGATTCTTCCTTGGAGTATGAATGAGATGAATGAATTGGTTAATGGTGAATTAGTCTTGACCCCAAGCTCCTTATTTATAGCTTTTTGGGGTTGTATTCTTCATCTAATCTTCCAATGAATCCATACAAGATTTGTATTTGATTTCATCTTTGTTTCCTTTTTCATGTAAAATCTTGGAGATTTGGTTGATGAATTAGAGTTTTAAATCTTCGTAGTATCCTGCTTCAATCTTCTCAGGAATCATCTTGATTTGTTTCTGTTTTAGTTCCATATCCTATCTGAACCAATCTTCTTTAAATCTTCATGGAATCTGTTGCGTATCTTGATCAAATCTTCCTTTGAACCTTTAGCAATTCTTTGGTAAATCTTCTCACTGTCAAATAACTGATTGTTGTCTGCCTTAGCACGTTTTGGCGTGCTGTAGCACACTAAAACGTGCTCTTCGAATTGTTTTTGTGGCTTCAAGAGCGTTTTGGCGTGCTGTTTGCGCGCCAAAACGTGCTCTTCCCGAAAGTAATTGTTGCTTTCTTCATCTTGTGCGTTTAAACGTGTTTCCAGGGCGCTAAAACGTCCTCTTACAGTTGATACACACTTGGAATCTTGCTTGCTTGTGCTTCAACTTAATTTGATGTTTTCCTTTGGTTCCAAAATGCCATAATTGGTGTCAAAAACCCTTGTAAATCAGTATTACGACAACATGTTAGCAAGATATTTCAATTACTGTAATTTACAGTATAAAACCCTAATTTCCATGCAATTCATAACATATATCAATCATATTTAAGCCTAAAAATATGGTAAACTATGGGTTTATCAACACTCTTGGCAAAGGACTATTCTTCAGAAAGAGGTTCGAGAGAATGATTGAAATCTACACTGATGCAGATTGGGCAGGTTCATCAGTGGAACGAAGATCTACTTCAGGCTATTGCACCTATGTGTAGGGCAATCTTGTGACTTGGAGGAGTAAAAAATAGACTGTAGTTGTAAGAAGCAGTTCTGAGGAGCTCTAGCTCATAGAGTTTGTGACGAAGTCTGGCTGAGAAGACTTCTTGAAGAATTAAAGATCTCTTATTCCCTACCAGTTAAACTATACTGCGATAACAAGGTTGTTGCCAGCGTTGCTCAAAATCCTGTTCACCATGATAGGACAAAACATGTGAAGTTGACCGTCACTTTATTAAAGAAAAGCTAGATGATGGAAGTGTGTGTATGACGTACATTCCTACCAAAGAGCAAGCAACAAACGTCCTTACAAAAGGCCTACATAGACCAAAATTTGAAGACATGGTTGGCAATTTGGGAATTGTTGAGATATATAGTCTCACATTGATTGTATGTGCAACTAATGTGGAGTTTATAAGGTCTTGGGCACTCCCACCCTTTGAGCTAGCTTTTGGGGTGGTGTATCCCAAGGTTCTTTACATGGTATCAGAGCCTCGCCGCCCTCCACTTTCTCTTGTGGCGTTTCTTAGCACAAGTAGGCTGGACCTGTAGCATTGTCCACTCTGCAAGCCCAATGGGCTCTCGTGTGAGGGGGCGTGTTGAGATATATAGTCCTACATTGGTTGTATGTGCAACTAAAGTGGAGTTTATAAGGTCTTGGGCACTCCCACCCTTTGAGCTAGCTTTTGGGGTGGTGTATCCCAAGGTTCTTTACAGGAATGATCAACATATACCTCCCAACTTGAGGGGGAGTGTAGGAAATCAGAAGATTATTGCCATATATATGAAGAGATTCTGTCAAATCCCTAAATCATAGGAGTCAATCAATTAGGCTTAGTTTATTTCCTTTTTAATTAGGATTGATTAATTTCTTTTTGTTATTTATTTCCTTTTCCAATCACACAATGTGTGTATATATGCATGTACCCTCTCTTTATTGGAATACAATTCAATGAAATCTTTTTCTTAGTATTCAAACAAGAAGAATACAACTAAAATATCCCTACACTATTAAAATGTTATTCAGGTATCTTTACCAATTGAGAGATTTGCTTATCTATATTCACTAATGTCATTGAACCATATCCTGTGTTCATGGCTTATGGATGATATGGAAGGCACACCAAATATATTGTTAGGGACCACCAGAATAATGGACAATTGAATATGGGGAAATCTAACCAGAAACAGGGATTGTATTACTGAAATTGAATTCAACAGTACAGGGAAATGTGATGGTATTACACAGCAAATGGAATGCCTATGGAAAACAGAATACAAAACAAGACTGATTACAGGGAAAGAAAATAAAATTGTAGAGCAATTAGAGAGGCTCTACTCTCTCCCAAGTCGAGGGTCCACACTAAGATTCCAGATGATTCCATTGATGCCTCCCCTCTTTACTTATCCCCTTCCGCCTCTCCTTCTATGCCCCCCCATTCTGTTAGGATCTGTTACACGAGGTTGCAACAGAATTGCTGAGTCACTTGGCTGGGGCCCACTCCCTTCTCTTCTTATCTCTTTTGTATACTTTCATGGGCTGAACCGCATCATATTTCAACAAGCATTATAATGCATTCTTGTAACTTGTAATTGTAAGAATAATGAGTTAGTTGATCTCCCTCTTCCAGTCCTCCATATGAAGTATATTTATTGCAAAGAAATATTAAATGAGTGGCTTTTTTATAATCATGCATTAACATTTATTTTTCTTTAGAAAGTCAATCGCAAAAGGAGGATTTTATCAGCTTGTTATTTTGGTCAGCATTTTTTAAAAACTTGAAAAGAGCTTGTCAATGATGTCTTTATTCTGGTCATGTTGTTTTCCCTCATTGTTTTCTTTTGTATTATATAATATTAAAAGAGGACCATTGGTTTGGAACTATGGACATCAGTCACTTATTTTATCTATGATACATCCAGCAGTGTGATTATTTGTTTGGTCTATTTATAGAGATCACAGCATTAACATATTCCTTGTTGCCTTTTGTATTAACGATGTTCGACTCCAAATCCCAGCAGTCTGATTAGCGTTCTATCAAATTATTACTCTTTGAATAGCACAGATATTGAAAGGGCTTTTTGTTTTTAATTCTTTGTTTCCTTGTATATTCTCTACTATCTAGCTCTAAGATGTGTAAACATCATAAATGCATGAGTGTTTTCCCTTTTCATATTTTTCAACATTTGTGTGTTCGTAATATATATATATATATATATATAGGAAACAACCTCTTTGCAATTATGTAAGGGTAAGGCTGCGTACAAGGATTTCCTTCATCCCACACTCGCTAGTCGGGTTTGATGGGGAGTTTTTTATTTTTTATTTTATTTTGTATTATTTTTTTTTATATATGGTCTAGTTATTCTTACACCGGTATAAGAATAAGATATATTACACTAAATCTTGGTCATTGATCCACTTGTATTCAATGACTCACATAGTTAAAAATTAGAGCTGTTAGATACAAGTGGAGTCAACAGTCAAGATTGAAAGTGTAACTCACACAAGTGTAAAATGATCCTGACCCATATATGTGTGTGTTAAAATACACGTTTGATACAAAAAGGATTGTGCTCTTCGTTTCTTGTATTGTTCAATCATTTTGATTATCCATACTCAGTTATAACTGCTTTTGCAGTTTTTTAAGGATTGCATTTGATGTTATTTTTTCTCCTCACTTATATTTATTTATGTGCATGTATGTAAAAAGAATGTTAGATAGATAGATAGCTATTTGTTTTAGTTGATAAGTGCTCAGGAAATTGGAATTCTTTAAGACAGTATTTCATGTAATGGTTGCTTTCAGAGTGCCATGGTTCACTGCATTGCCCCTTCTGGAACTAGATTATTTTGGTAAGCCTATTCCATGGTGTTTAGCTAACCAAACTTTATATCTTAATTGGGTTTTTTTCAGCGGTCACTAACCTTTGTGGCCTTGTCTCATGCCTCACAAATCTTTGGTGTCTAAGAAATTAATTTTTACATGATTTTATGTTGTTGATTGTAGAATCATCTGCTACAGTGCAGACAAGAACTTCAAACTGTGTTGAATCATAGAAAATGTGTAATACTATATACTTTTAGATATTCGTTAAATAATGTTTTGACTCAAATTCTTCTTTATGCCAGGAGGATTGCACAAGTAAGAGAGAATGAGTGTAAGATTGCGATAGAAGATGTTATGTATTTGCTGATTTTATACAAGTTTTCTGAGATCAGGGTCCCTTTGGTTCCAAAGCTTTCTAGTTGCGTATATAATGGAAGGCTAGAGATATTGCCTTCTAAGGACTGGGAGCTAGAATCTATTCACAGCTTGGAGATTTTGGATATCATAAAGGAACACGTCAGAACTGTAACGGGATTGAAAGCAAATTCTAGCGTAAATGATAGTTGGGCAACAACTAAAATTAGAAAAATCTGGCTTGCTAGAGTCTATGTTGCCTCCATATTATATGGTTACTTTTTGAAGTCAGTTTCATTGAGATACCACCTAGAAAGAAGTCTATCTTTGTCTAACCGTGATCTTCATGTTGGTCATAAGACTGGCCTCTCATTTCGTGATTCGTGTCCTTATGGATCCAAAGATGTGATCTTTGACAACAAGGGTGACATAAAATCTGTGTGGCAAGGTTTAATCAGGGAGGAAGAGGAAATTGATGATTTGAAATGTTATGTTATGGGGTTTCACCCAGGGTCATTGCAGAAATGTGCTAAACTAAGATCTGAGGAAGCTGTGCATTTGGTAGAGAGTCATAGTCATGCACTTTTTGGGAATGAGGGTTCTGGTTTGTTTGAGCATGATGATGTTATTTTAACTTCATTTTCTAGTTTGAGGAGGCTAGTGTTGGAAGCTGTTGCTTTTGGATCTTTCCTGTGGGAAACAGAAGATTACATTGACAATGTTTATAAACTTAAATATCATGAAGTAGTGTAAAGGAACATGTTGCTAAATGAATTCCAACACTGTTGGGCGAATTCTCTTTGTATATACAGTGAGTTTTGTTCTTAGCTTTTGAGCTTTGGGTTAATTTTGTGTAGTATAGCCTGCGTTAACCCTGAATAATGTACAGTTTTAACACTTGGTTGATTAGTGAGATAGACTTTTCAATAGTTACAAAGTTGTTCACTGTGTATGGATCTATGTTTAAATATTGTGCAGCTATTCATATGATTGTACAGTTTGAATATTCATTTTGTATTCTTTAGGAAAAAGAATATTGTACATGTGAGAATGGATGCTCAGATAGTCAGATATCTCACAGTTTAATATAATCATGTCATGTAATAAAAAATCCTAATCATTTATTAACAGATTAACTGTTAGTAGTTAAAATGATTATTTTTTGTTTTTTATTCTACGCTTTGGCAGTTGATCTGTCAATGATTTTTTTATATGATATAATTATGTTAAAGTGAGATATGAAAAGATTTGTTCACGTTCATTTGCACATAATTCATGTGTTTGAAGACTGGGCAGGTAATTGTTCATTTATATGACATGTACCCAGTTTCATTCCTGATCAGGCATATAAATAAGTTGATATTATTTCATTCACGATTCTAAGTATGGCAGTTCATATTGTCATGAAAACAAATTTTGAGACCTTCTTGTCTATCGGAAATACTACTCTTATTTTACATGAGATAATTATCTCATGTTCTCTCACTTCGAAAATCATAATTTTTGTTTTGTTTTTTTTTTACTTTTTATAATGGTAGGTTCCACTTGAATTCTCTTTATAGCATGAAAGAATTACTCTAATGTAACATGAGAGTAATATTTCCCTTTGTCTATATCGTACAAATTTGCTCCCCTCTAGTACTTGGGGTTTCTATCGTTGAGTTGGTGAAGATCCAGATCCTTTTCTTCTACATTTGATGTTGGTTAAACTTACAAGCGTTTGCATCTCTTCAAATCACTTTCGCGTCTTCTCCCCTCCTCTCATGAGTCATGACTTAGCGTTTAAGTGTAAATCTTATAGATGAGAAAAGTGATGGATATAGGGGTTTTGGATAAAGTATAAAAAATATTGTTATCATACTTTTTTCTTTAAAAGTTACATTTTTTTTTTTACTTTTGAGGAAAATTTGAAAAAAATTAAAACTTTCTTTTGAAAGAAATTATCGAATTATATATATTTTTTAATTAGAAATATTTTTTCCTTAAAAAGCACAACTCCCAAACAATTGATGAAAACATAAATAGAATCAAAATTTAATGACAACGTTTTGGATTGAAAGAAAAACTTATAACGATAAAGACCAATATAATCTCAAAATAAGTTATAATTTACAAATATGATTTCTTCCAACCTCAAAATATGTAGTTTTAGAATCAAGACAAATAACTAATAAGTTATCTGCTCTAATTAGATGTGCTGAGATAATATTTATTAATTAATTATTAATATAAAATAAATAGAAAAATATTTATGCAGTTGCTGCAGTTAAGTTATCTGCATTTATTTCTAAAACGACGTCGTTTTGGAATTGAAAGATTAAAAAAATTATAATTATAAAGACTAATTATAAAGACTATAATAATACTGAAATAAATTTAAATTACAAAAACACCATGATTTTTGTCCCAAAACGATGTCGTATTAGACTTACTGCAGATGGAGATAATTTATTTCCAGTAACTTCAAAAAAAGCGAACCCTAAAATAAATTACAACTTCTTAATCTTGAACAGCAGTAAAAAGATCCCTAGATCCCTCTTCTCTCTCTATTAAGGTAACAACTTTTATCGTTTTGCCAATAATTTCTGTATTAATAATGCTTTAAAACAAAAAAGAAAAGAAACAATAGCCTATGTAAAATAAAAACCAACATTGGACACAAGTATACGGGGGGCAATTGGCAAAGCTATCGCAGATCTGTTGATTTTATTTGAAAATTTACACTACTTAGTACTTGGACAACCAATCTATGTTCGGTCAACAGCTTTGATAGTTGAACTTGTGATAATAATTGTTGGGAAAAGTGTTTGTATTTTTGAAAGGCATAAATTAAAGTCCTTTTAAGAGAAAGATAAATATAAAGAGATGAGATTCACATTTTTTTTTTTGTCTTTATTTTTTCAATGAAACCTACATCTCTTTGTATTTATTTTTCTTTTAAAAAGATTTAAGTTTGTGTTCTTTAAAAAAAAAAACACACATTTTCCCCATAATTTTTTTATACAAATAATGCCAAATTATATTCAAAACAAAAAAAATAGTCGTACCCGTTTAAAATATAAACCAAATATTTCTGGACACCAGTATAATATGGCTGGCAAATCCATCCCGGATCTGTTCGTTTTATTAAAATAAAATAAAAATTACAGTTTTTTTTTCTGGGTAACAAAATTACACTTCTTAGTACTTAGATAATCATCGCGTCACGGTGGATGTAAGGATTAAATTAGAATAATTAAAATATTTAAAGACTCAATTTAAAACATTAGTTATTAAATATTATCTTTTAGAAACAAAAAGTTTTATCTAATAAAAAAAATTGAATAAAATTTATATGTAAAATCAAATAAAAAAATTCATCCTTTTTTTTTTTTTTTGTTAATCTTATTTTAAGATACACCAAACTGACCCTAAATATTAAAAATAATTATCGTAGAAGTTTGATGCTACCTAATTATAATTTTAGACATTTGATTCCAATTCTAGATGATGGGGTCATAATATTATACAGTGCAATCACCAATGAGATTATAGATCTACTTAGTACAGCATCATTGCGAATAAACATATATTTTCCTCGGTAATACCTGTATGAAGTTGAATTGCTTCAAAGCATATATAGACAACATCTTTCTAGAGTAAAGAACAAGTTAGTATTTATTACTTTGTATTTTATAAAAAATTTAAGTGTTTTATCCTTACAAGTTTCTATCTAACATCATGTGTGTGTAAGCAACAACTAATTCTTTAGCTTGTTAACAGGAAACTTCTCTCAAACTTTACTTGTTATATAAACTAATCAGAGGATTGTGACTTTGAAACCTTCAAAGTCTCTGGAAATTTCCAAGTTTTTTATGCATATATAAAGGTTTGTATTTACCTTCTTTGCTAAGTTTAATCCATCAAATTCAAACCTTTGTTCTAATGTTGGCTCTTCTTGTGAAGCCAGTTACATTCCTTATAGAGACATTATGGAGTTTGTTAACACGTTTAATCTTCAACACAATAGCTTACACAATTGTGCTGTTAATCCAAGGTTTCAAAGTATCTGGAGAAAACTCACTTGGAATATTTCAACAAGTTGCAGATGTTATTAAGGGGTGTTTGGAGTTCATCCTTCAGATGATAATTGACTCAATAAATTTGATAATTTCTACAGTGTTTGATCTTCTTAAAGAGAGCATCACAGGATCATTGTCTGCTGTTGGAACTGTGGGTGGAGAACTTGCTGAGAAACTCAGGACTTCATTAGAGGAATCGGTGAAACAGGTGCCAGAGCTACTTGGGGAAATCTCAAATATGATCTCAAATATGGTAACAGAATTGTGGAATAACTATAAGGAAGCTGTTGGAATTGTTACAGATAATGCTTGAGTATGGTGTTTCTGTATATGATTTGCTATTATTATTTAGTTAAAATGACATTAGAGAAGTTAGCTAGTTTGTAACATTCATGTTCTTTGTCTAAACATATTTTTTTGATCTCTTCCTTGTTTTTGTTTGACTTGGTGTCATGCTTCAAAAGTGATGCTAGTTCCTTGCTGCAGTTGGACTTTCATATAATTGTGTTTGATCAATAAGCTTTTGAACCATTTAATCACATTGCTTCAGTTATTTATTTAACTTTTTTTTTTTTCTTGCAACTTTCTTAAGAAATTTTGTTAGTTTACATCTTTGTATTTGTACATGAGTTGTTGCAGGATTAATAGCACAGCACAAACCACATTCTCTTTGCTGATAAGCAAATAGGGCTGTGAGAGAGAGCCTCTTTTCATTTTTTTCACAATATACCATTGACAAGCCCTCCGTTCCTATGCCTCATTCTCTGCTCATCTTTTCTATTTTATTTATTTATTTATTTATTTTCTGATTGTTCATTTTTTTTAATTTTTATTTAAATTCATCTGCTAGCAAATAATTAATTTGCAATGAAGGTGTTGTTGATTTGATTTTCGATGGTTAGAAATTTGCAGTGACAAACATAGAGACCAAGTTCCTTTTTTTTTTTTCATATACTATGTTGAATCTTATCGGAATTAGTAATGGGCCTATGAAGCCCAATAGGCTTTGCATAAACACAACTATAAGTTGGACTTGGAAGTTTAAGGTATATGAATTAATAAAAGTTTAATTGTTTGTTATAGAAAATAAATTTATTTCATATACATATTTAAAAGTATGTGGGGTGCATTTTTTTTTTCCTCTCTTCTTCTCACATGGGTCCATATGGCCCACACACTTTTTATGTGTGTGTCGGAGATAATTTTATCTCTTACAATATAAGAGACATCAAACCCTTTTCGAGGAATATGTTATGATGTTATATGAGGTAATTTTGTCTTATGCAACACAAAAAAAAGTGACTAGGACCCATTAAGAAAAAGAGAGAGAAAGAAAAAATGGATTTCACTCACTTTTTGTGTTTTGTCTTATACAATATAAGAAATATATTTTCCTTAATTTTTAAGGAAAAATATTGAAAAAATGAATTAATTTTTTTTTTTTAGATACATGAGAAAGGACTAGAACACACATCACCTAGCACATTTACCCACGCCCCTAACTCTAGTGGCTTATGAAAAGTGAACTAGTTATAAAGTAGGAATCGAGATCTATTTTTTGAATCGTAAAGTACGTTGATCCGACGATAATGTAGAAAGTAGTGGTATGGACAAATGTTAACGTACTTGCCTCGCACTAATTGAGGATAAATGAGGTAGGTGTTTTGGGCTCAATTGTAAATGTGGTAAGAGTTTGACGGAATAACAACATATTTACAAGATGGAGAAAATCATGCTTATGATGAGATTGAGTTCTTTATTTATAGGATGGGAAAAATTTCCTCTCGGCGTTGGAGTGTAATGACATTTTAACCCTATGAGCCCAATTATGATGTGAGTTGCATGGCTTTTAACATGTAAAGATCATGTGTGCATAAAAAATATAATAGGATA